CCTACAAAGAAATATCCCGATTGCTTAAGAATACAAAAAGCTCCTAAACATAAATAAAGCTATTTATAAACTATTGACTCGAACTATATAATATATTGGCTGTGGAACCAAGAGGTTGTACGTCCTTTTAGATGTGCCATATCGTTAATTTAATCCCCATAAAGTTGACAAAAAGCCTCGTTAAACGTCTTTTTAAAAATAAAAATAAGCAGGATTAATAGTAAAATACCTTAAATCCAAGGAGCAGATGTCGCCGAAGCGGCTCCCCATTTTGATTGGAGTTCAGATTTGTGAACACCATTGATCTTACTGCTGCAGCACGTGTCTCAGGGTGTTCGGGGTGAATAAGGGGTAAAGAAATATCAAATCCGAATCGCATATTGCTGGTAGAGAAGCTGGCTTTGGCAAGCATACTATCACCAAGATCAAGTCGATACTCATTTTCACGGTAGTATGGCCACGTACCAGCATATAGATTGAATATTAAGTGATTGCGCCCAGGAGTAAAGTCTTCAGCTAAATAATAAGAAATAGGAGGAAAGGCAGGCTAAAGGGTAAAAAAATGATATACCATTCATTACCAATATTATAATGAAAACATTTAATAAGTGCTTTAACAAATATTTAAGAGGTATGGGAACAAGAGAACAGGACAGAGAATTTTACACGATAGAAATCATACGGTTAAACATATAATTTTTTTTGAGGAATGGTTGAACGATAATAATAAAACAGGCTGATATGGCGAGAAAGAAATCAATTTACCATTGACGGTCTTTGGCTGGATATAAGTTGTAAAAGGAAAAGAATCAGGCTTTGGTTGTAAATGCCAGTACGGAAGGCCGTCTAGTTGAGATTGAACAAAACGATTAAAACGGGGACTCAAAGGATCTCGATCCAAAGTATCTAAGCTGGGTATGAAAATACATGCTTGTGAAGGGATTTTCGTAATAAAAGGAGATCGTCTGACGGAGGAAATTATTTTTTGATACATAGGAGAGACGATTTGTCCAGCAATGTCAGGATATACATATACCTATAAAGGTAAAATAATGGGGTAATTCCATAAGTTGAGTTCGATTAAAAAAACAAAAAAGCATGTTGGTGAATGAAATAATGTATCCCGTTTGTAGTGATAGGAGAAATTTCATAAAATGCATTGTGTATAATAAAATATAGGATAAGAAATAAATTATTTGGATAAATTATATGATTATGCTTTTATGATGATAATGATATTATTACTATTATTATAGTGGATCAATTCAATTAAAGGGATAGTTGTTGCCAGATAAATCAGTGGTTACAGGGCATTAAAATCTGAGTTTCCGTAGATGAAGAGTGAAGTGCATTTTTATATAAAAATTAATTTAGAAATCACATATTTTAGGTCAATACTTGTAAATAGCAATGATATTTAATTTAGAAATCACTGTATAACTAATCTTGCTCTAAATCTAAATCTTTGACACGACGCCATTAAATATAGTACACAAAACATAAATATGGGAAAGGAATATAAACCAAAATACTTGTG